GCCGCAGCGCCCGTGCCCCTCCCGGGCTCGGCCCGCCGTCGTCGCCTCTGCGTCCTCGCTGGGCGCGGGGCTCGGTCCAGCGGCACAAAGGCTGCTGTCAGTGCCAGCTGCCGTAGGGGCCGCTCGCAGGGCGCCGGAGCCTGCGCTCCCAAGACGCTGCCACGATGCGGAACACGGTTCTGACGCCGTGCTGTTTCTGACTCCTTAGGAAAAAGCCAGAAGCCCTTTAAAGCATTCTGTTAGCTGCTTAGTACATGCCCTTATTTACTTGAATACTTTTTCTAGTAAGATTTTGGGAGTAGGGTGATTTGTGACACACTTCAGAAGACAGCCTTAAGAGATGAAAAAAAATATCCCATTTTTAGTGTTTGTAGGATGAAACTAGTTGTAGAAAAAATCAGTTTTCAAATGCCTTCTTTTGCCTCGACAAGTATGTACTGGTGGCTCCAGAAATCATCCGACTTGTGTGTGTCGTTACATAATTTAAAAGTTGGGGTACTAACGGTCTCTAGGGAATACTTTGTGGGCCTCAGTAGCAATCGCCAGGGCTTTATTGAGTCAGACCGGGCACAGAGCCCTGTATTCTTTTCACCTTCTTACTGCTTTTGCTTTATTGTACTTCGTAATACTTAGAATAATAGTTTACAGTAATCATAAAGGCCCCATAAACCCGCCTTTTATGTCTCTTACATCAGTAGTTATTTACTTTAATTGATTATATTTTGGGAGTATGTTTTAACCCCAAGAAGTTTTATCTTCTCTTTTTTGAGAGTTTAATAACCATGTTGGTTGTTTAACCACTGTCAGAATTTGTGCTGGTCTTTCTTTCCTTTTTCTTTTTGAACTGTAATATCTTCATAACTTGGAAGAATCTATGATGCCAGTAGAATCAAAAGAATATCTTCACATTTTAATAGATTATCCAGAGTTCTTAATGCAATTAATAATTTATTATCCCCTTTGTTATTTGCTAAATTATTTCAGGGAACAGCTGTTGACTCCTTTCTTTGAGCAGCCTCATTCGGGCTAATATATATTAGGAGACAAAATGAGATAGTCATAAATAATCAATAGAATAATTTGCATTTTTAAAATTTGTTTTAATTCTAAGAATTAAAATGTTGTTAAATGTTTTAAAATTATAATACAATATTAATAGTTTTTATGGGCTAAAGGTTGAATAATGGGCCTAAAACAAAAGGTGAATAGTAGCAGTGCAGTATTGAAACTAGTTATTTGCCTGGTAAACTCTCAGGTTACTGATAGTTTAGAGATGTATAGATAGACAGATGTGTGTGTGTGTATGTATGTAAATCTGTATATGTATCTGTAGAGAGAGAGAGAGATAGATACATATATATTCACTTTACCTTTACAGTCACCATTTCTGGGTGGTCTGAGGAATTTCAGTATTCTAGATCTTTGAAGATGGCTAACGAGACATTACGATATAAAATTGTAGGTTTTTTTTTTTTTTTTGAGTTTTAAGTAATCTTTCCTTGAAAATGGTCTTTAAATGATCACTTAAAAGTCTTCTAATGCAAACGATGAGTCTTCGTTTATTTGTTTTTCATTTTTGTATTTGCTTTTATCCTATCACTTGCCTTTGAATTAAAGTTTTGTTGTTTTTTCTTTTTGTTTGTTTAGCTTCCTGGGAGTTACTGATTATCTTTGAAGAAACATGAAGTCACACTCTGTTGTTATGCTTACTCTAACCATCCTGGTGTTCCTGACATGGGTCCCTGTGTCACTGAGTTGTAATAAAGCACTCTGTGCTAGCGATGTGAGCAAATGCCTCATTCAGGTAGGACCAAGAGTACTTTTTATTAATATTAAAATATATTGTGGAGCAGACATAGAGCACATATATACAGTATATATGTATATAAAGTATATATATATAATTTAGTGTAAGGCCTGAGTATTAGATCAGGGCCTGAGGTACTGAACCGTCACACACTGGTTTGTATTTTTGCCCACATAGTTCTCTTGCGTACAAGCAAGGTCAGAGTCAAGAAGTTCAGTACTGAGAATAATATCCTGCTTTATAAACATGCCGGTACAAGGTGATGAACACTCTATTCAGATGAATTAAAGGGTTCCCTTGTATAATTTAGTTTACATAGCAAAGAGGCTCACTTACTGTGTTTAGGAAAAAATTTAGCTGGTCAAGTAATGGACAAATGTTACCCTAAGTATAATGTGTTAGTTGTCTATTCCGTGTAATAAGTTACCCCCAAACATAGCAACTTAGTGCAATAAACATTATTTCATGCAGTCTCTGAGGGTCGGGAATCTGGGAGTAGTTTATCTGGGTGGTTCTGGCTCAAGGTCTCTCAAGGTTGCAGGTAAGTTGTTGGCTGGGATTGGAGAATCTGCTTCCAAGGTACTTGACAGTGATCGCTCTTTCAGTCATCGAGGCAAGCCTAGTGATGTAGCTACCACTCTTACTCTTTTTTTGTGGAGAAAAGTGAGGTTAAGTAATTTGGCGAGGTTCATATAGCTAGTAAGTGATTGTGGAATATGGTATGTGTTTGACTCCAAAGCCTCTGGCCTTTCCACTAAACATACTGGTTATTACGCTCCATAAAGTTGTGTTAATTAGCAGTAAACTTGATGTCCTGTATAGCTGTTCTCTCTTTTCCCAACATATTAGACCATCAGCAGTCTTGTACCCATTGTGGGTTTGTCTTTATTAGTCTCCCTTCTAGTTATTGGCTGTTGGCTAAGAAATTCAGTAACCACACATTAGAATTCTATGTGAAGTGTGAGTTGGCTTCCTCTTGGACTGTAATCCTGTTATGAGAGCAATTGTGTGTATGTCCTAGAAGTGATAATTATTTTTATAGATTAGAGGCATTTTGTGCTTATTTCTGACATTTTGGTCATTCTCATTAGTAGTTGAAATTCTAGGAAGCCTGGGTTTGTGAGCGTGGTTTGCCACCGTCTCATACTGTTTACTCTTACTTTGCATTTCAAACCAAGATATGTAACTAGAGAGGTTGGTTGGTTTTTAATTTTTTTCTTATGGACATTTTCAAGCATAAATAGAAGAGAGAGGAGTGTAATGAACTGCTCATCAGCAGTCACAGCAGCCGTTAACTCCTGGCTGCCCTGGTTTCATCTAAACTCCTCTACACCGTCCACCCCAGCTCTGTTTTAATTTCCCGAAAATCCCTGATACTGTTTTGTCATAATTCTAATATCTATCTCTTAAAGATAAGAATTCTTTAAAACATAGCTATTAGCAATTTAAAATGTAACAGTAAATCTTTAATATCATCTAATTTTATATATGGAAGTTTTGATATGGCACATCTGCTTAGACTTGTGCTGGCTGAAAATTTCATAGTTAGCACATAAAGTCTAGCTTTGTGCTGGGGTCAGATGGAGAATCTGAGCCACTTCCCAGGGTGTTTCAATGTGGCTTCATTATTTGTTGTTAGAAATAAAGTCTCCTAACATTTGCTATATTCATGTTTAGGTGGAAATTCACTTAAATCCCAAATTATTTTTTGATTCTCCAAGTCTGTAATTTCCATTAGTTCAAATAATTAAAAATTAGACTTTATTTAAAATACCTTGCTTTCTAAGGGAGTATTTACAAGAGAAAGCTTTTTGGTTAATATTGATAAACACTCTCAAAGGTTTTTGTTTGTTTGTTTTACCTTTTAATTTAAAATTTTTTAAGACTTACAAAATTCTTCAAAAAGTAAAGAGTACTATGCAAGTGTAAAAACTGGAAAATCAAGTGAAACTTCACTTGTTAAATGGTGATGCTAGTAAATTCATTGGAAAGAAGCTAGGACTTTTTTTTTTTTTTCCCACTAATTAACTGATGCTAACATTTCTCAGATTCCTGTTGTTCCTTCAGAGTCAGGAATCATCAGATCTTTTTCTGGAGTTGCAGAGACAGCTCTTCTGGTGCATAGTGGCAGAGTATTTGAGGTTAAAAATATAGAGGGTTCGAAGACTGAGGATTTTCCTTTTTTTTTTTTTTGGTGTGGAAGATTGTCCTTGGGCTCACATCTGTGCCAGTCTTCCTCTATTTTGTATATGGGACCCCACCACAGCATGGATTGATGAGCAGTGTGCAGGTCCACACCCGGGATCTGAACCCCTGGACCCCAGGCCACCGAAGCAGAGCGTGTGAACTTAACCACTGGGCCGGCCTCTGAGGATTTTCTTTTTTTTGCAGGGAAAGATTCGCCCTGGGCTAATACTTCTTACCAATCTTCCTCTTTTTTTTTTTTCCTTCCCCAAAGCCCCAGTGCATGGTTGTATATCCTAGTTGTAAGTCCTTCTGGTTCTTCTGTGTGAGCCACTGCCACAGCATGGCAACTGACAGATGGGTGGTGTGGTTCTGTGACCTGGTTTGAACCCAGGCCACCGAAGTGGTGAGAGCGCTGAACTTTAACCACTGGGCCATCAGGGCTGGCTCTGAGGATTGAGGATTTTCTTGTTCGTTTTGTTCACAAAGGCTTATTGGACATTGAAGTAAATTGTGGAAATGGTCTATGTCTGCCCTGTCCAGTGCAGTAGAAACTAGCCACATGTGTCTTATTGAGCACTTGAAATGTGACTAGTGTGATAGAAAACAGATTTTATTTTATTTATTTTTATTTAATTTTAAATAATTTCAATTTATTTTTTTATTATTTTTTTGTGTGTGTGAGGAGGACTAGCCCTGAGCTAACATCTGATGCCAATCCTCCCCTTTTTTCTTGATGAAGATTGGCCCTGAGCTAACATCCGTGGCCATCTTCCTCTGCTTTATATGGGACGCCGCCACAGCATGGCTTAACAAGCGGTGCGTTGGTGTGTGCCCGGGATCCGAACCTGTGATCCCCGGGCCACTGCAGGGGAGCGCGCGCACTTAACCGCTTGCACCACTGGGCCGGGCCCTCAATTTCAATTTAAATGCGATTGTTGGCTACTGTATTGTATCACAAATCTGAAGTCTCGCCAATAACTGTAACACCTGGGCTAGGAAGAGGCTTCACTGTGAGTTCCCTCTCCCTCTCCCTCCCCCTCCCCCTCCCCCTCCCCCTCTCCAATTTCTCCAGCATGCTGGCTTAATGGGCTTCCAAGATGTGTGTCCTATGAAGGGCAGAGCTGGGGGAAGCTGTATTGCCTTTTATGGCCTCACTTTAGAAGTTACAGTGTTGCTTCCAGCCGGAATTTACATGGAGGGAACATAGGCCCCACCTCTTGATGGAGGAGCATGGGTGTCTAGCTGTAAGGAGAGCATGTGGATGGGACATAATGGTGTAGCCATCTTTGGAAAATATGATCTGCCACATTTTAACTGTAAAATGAATTGGCTAAGTGATCTCAAAGTTTCCTTCTAGTTCTACGCAGTTCTAAAGAAAGAAACCAATATTATATGTCATAGTAATAAAGGTCTCTTTTTAAAAAGTCAAATTTTTAGAAGGATACATAATGAAAAGTAAGTTCCTTGACCTAATTTTCCCTACTCCTCATTCTGTTACCCAAGGAGAACCATTTTTTTTTTTTTTAAAAGATTTTATTTATTCATTTTTTCCCCCCAAAGCCCCAGTAGATAGTTGTATGTCATAGGTTCACATCCTTCTAGTTGCTGCACGTGGGACTCGGCCTCGCGTTGGACGGAGAAGTGGCGCCTTGGGGCTTGCCCGGGATCCGAACCCGGGCCGCCAGCATCAGAGCGCACGCACTTAACCGCTAAGCCACGGAGCCGGCCCAAGGAGAACCATTTTTAATCTAGTAACTGCTTGCATTTTTACTTCTTTTAGTGATTTTTAACCATATGGCTAAATATGTTTATACTGTTTCTTAATTTATCAATTCTAGATATTATATGACTAAAACTGCCTTTCTGCTGTATTATAGATTAGGACATAGCTCATGTACCATCCTCTTCTCCCCAACTCCTGACCTGCCGTACCTGTGTCACTGTTTTTAGGTTCTCTCTTCGTTACCTTTTCAGTTTCTACAAAACAGGTAAACCTTTCTGTTCTATTCTAGCAACTAGAAACACTGTTTCTTGATTCCTGATGTAAGAGGAGAATATTAGTAGCCCTATCCTTTCCTTTTTAAATTTTATTTATTTTTTAGCAGTGAGACAGAGTATAATTTTTAAGAAAAACTGTGCGTTTCTTTAGGGATCTAGAAAGGGGAGGGCTTATGGGATTCCCTTGGCGATCATGTGAATCTACCATTGATTGCCACACTTAACGTCATAGAAAGCAAGGAAAGCATTTGTGAATGCTGCCTTCAGAATTTTCACCTTTTGGAATGACTTTTGATGGACTGTATCAAAGTCTGTGGGGAATGGGGTGTTATCTGTACTTTTATGTTGTCAAGTTTGGTAACACCTACATTCTGAGGGCAGCATAGTGTAATGGTTAAGAGCATGGACTCTGGAACCAGCTCTCTGAATTTGAATCCAGTTCTGCCGTGTACTAGCTGTATGACCTTGGGCAAGTTACTTAATCTTTTAATGCCTCAGTTTTCTCATCTACAAAATAGGTGCCATACCTACCATGTATGGTCATTGGGAGGGTTAGGTGTAAGGTACTTAGATCAGCACTCAGCACATGAGTGCTCTATCAGTGATTATTAACCTTATTTCTCTGTCTTGTAACTATATTTGAATCTTTCATACTTTATTTATAGGTATATTCTAAAATTGACAATCAGTAAACCGTGTTTATATTATAATAGTTATATAAATATTGTTGATTGTAGAGTCACATAGGGTACTATGATTATGTTTCCTCTCTTGAATGATTTTTTCTTGAGTTTCTAATTTTCTTTCTTGAT